GGAAGGGAGGGAAGGAAGGGGTGGAAGAAAGGAAGGTCAAACTTACATGGATTGTCCCCAGCTGCATGCTCAGTCAGAAGCATCACAGAGCCGCCACTTGTTCTGTATACAATTTCCAGCCCACACATCCTCTTCTGCACTGCACAAACTAAAGTATGGGTGGGCATAGGGGGAGGCAGAGCAGATCCAGCCTCTCACCTATCTTCTCCTATTGCTGCAGAGGATGGGGCAGAGGGATTGGGCCCTGATGAGCACACAGGAGGGCCCGGAAAGAAATTGAAGGATCAGAGATGATCGATGCAGTGGTGGGGCAGTTACAAGCACTGATCTGTATGGCCTTCAATAAAGCAGCTGGAAGCCGCATCTTCTCCTCTCCCTACCACAGTTTTCAGCTGCTTCATTGAAAGCCATGCAGGGAGATCAGTGCCGCCACTCCCACCCACCCTAGTCTCAGTGCTGCTCACCCCCATGTTATTTCCACTCACCCAATGCATGCGGGCGAGTGAAAATTTTGAGGACTGAATATAATATCTGTTTATTAAAAGTATAAATAAAGTATTTTAGTTTCAAATGTTGACCGCATCCAATAACTTACCACTTTTCCCTTTTGGGCTTTATAGCAAAATATATTTTGAGTCAGACTTCGTTCTTTAATTTTTGTTTTTGAGTTGAGGTGCAGCAGATGGATGATTAGTTTTTATAATCCCCACCTCCCTCCTAGAGTGTAAGCTCTAAGGAGCCGGGCCCTCAAATCCCTCTTGTATTGAACTGTATTGTTACTGTATTGTCTCCCACTATAATGTAAAGCGCTGAGCAAACCGTTGGCGCTATATAAATACTGTATAATAATAATATCTAAGGTTTATATTGCTGTCTGTTTCCCTGCAGTATTGATTCACCCATTCTGTTTGTCCTGGTGGCCATTCTTACCAGAACAGAGAGTAATGGCAAATCCAAAGTTTTACGTTTGTGTCAGGAATGGACTCACCACTGGTGGTGCTGTGGCTCACTTGCTCTGTGGGCTGCAGTACCAGCTCCTACCAGAGGGTGCTTTCAGCAGCCAGGGTCTCACTCCTGCAATCAAGCCATCACCTGAGGCTGATTGCAGGAGGTCTATTTAAGCAGGACCAGGCCTGCAATCAGTCCCTTGGTGTTGTCTCTCATGAGCCCCTGTACCTTGTATCCTGTGTTCCTGTTCTTCTGCCTATCTGATTTGCTGCCGACCCTGCCTGATCCTGACCTCTGCTGACTTCTCCTGCTTGATCCCTGGCTCGTTTGGCTACTCTCCTGGACATCCCTAATCTGATCTGAACTCCTGTTACTGACCCCCGGCGAGTGACCCAACTACTCTTCTGCCTGCTGCCTAGTACCACGCTGACCTGCTGTTACCGACCCGGCCCATCTGACTACGCTAATAACTCTGCCATCCATCCATCCTGCTTGGATCCAGCCATCCCTGCTCACACCTTCTGCCTCTTCACATCAGGCTCTCTAGCCGGCATATACCTCTGGCGGTACCCTCTACCATGAGCAGGTGTACTCAGGGGCCGCGACCTGGTTCCTGTCTGCTCCAAGTCCATCCTCACCATCAGGGGCCCTGTTGAATAAGCAGACTAGGACTTAGACTCCGCGCCCTGGGGAATCCTGTCCTGAGGACTGCTAGAGGTACCACCAGACGGTTGTTAACAGAACCATGCGGCCGGCCTGACCATTCCACCTCTCCAGCCCTGACTACGCCTGTGTTCCTGCACATACTAATATTAGTGGAAGGTTGGTGTGTTTACTGTGTGTTTGTATATTTGGGTGGCTAATAATAAATTATATTATTATTTATATCATTCCTGAAGCCTGTTACTTCCTTGTGTCAGTCCACACATTTCTGGTCATACCCGGATCCCTGACAGTTTGACTCTGGGACAAGTGGTAAGGGGAAATTTTCCAATGGGGACATCTGTTGTGGTGTTGACTGTCTAATAATGGATTTCCCATTACATCCTATTGTGTCTCTGGGACAGGAAGTAAAGGAAAATCTTAACACCAGGTCACAAACTGTAAAACAAATTATGTATAACTAAAGGCAAAACTTTTTTTCTAGTTTTTTTTGGATAGAGTGGAGAGGGATTGGAACACCTGTCAGGTATTATTGCTGCCTGTGCTCCTGTTAGGGAGATTCACTTTTTCTATTTGTCCTGTTTACTGTTATTATCAAATGGAAAAAGAAAATCCCAAATTTAGGGTTGTCCCCAGGAAAGTAATAGAGGGGAAATCTTCCAATGGGGACTAGGTCTGGTGACCTGGCGGTCCCCAAGAAACCCCTTTAATTTGCAGGGACTTCCTTTCACTTCCTGTTTTGACTAATGCGATAACGAGGGCAAAAATAAACCTTACAGGGGTTAAAACCCTCCCTTACTCTATTCAAAATGAAATTTAAAAAGGTTTTGCCTATAGTTCTACATTAAAGTGGTTGTAAACCCCCCCAAAAAAATTACTTTTTGCCATAAATGAATACATTTTAATGTGAACATAAATACAGCTGTGAGTGTACCTCAGAAAATGCTTCCTTAGCTTGTCTCAGCCCTCCAAAAACTGCTGGCCTGTGGATGTGGCTTTGGACTAGAGAATAGTAGGCGGAGATGTGGTGTCACACAATCTCTCAGTTATACACACACTCCAGCCTCGGCTCAACATGCACAGCTATCTGACATCTCTATGCCTGCGAGCATGTCTCCTGAGTGCATTCAGGGGAATACATAGGTGCCAGTGACTATGTCAGCTCTGCTTACAGCACAGGAGCTGTGCTAATCAGGAGCTGATAGGAAGGGGTTAATGTTAAAAATTCTAGGAATCCTGCAGTCTAAAGTGGCAATGTGGACCAGGATACATTCTCATGTAAAATTCTGTAAGCAGCAATTCACAAGCTAGGTGCTGTGAATAGAGCAGGACATTAATCAGCTGTCAGCAGACTTACCTAGATAACTACAGCATTACTGAAGTGATGCCGATCTATGTCATAAATCACTGCTGCTGAGTTCTCGATCTTGTGAAGGCAGAGATCAGCAGGGAGAGGACACCGCTCCCCCATCCTTTTGCAGTGTATTACATGGAGGCTCATGCTGGGCTTGTCTTCAGCACAGCCTTTCACTCACAGGAGAAGGGGAGTGGCGACACACCATTTTTCTGCTTGTGTCGGATTTATTCTGCTCAGAAGAGCAGGGGGTAATTCTGGAGAAGGGGATTGCTTCAAGATACTAAACTAAGCTCAAATGCGTAGTAAAGGTAAAATCTATTCAACTGTAGGACTAAATTAATAGAAGCCTACGTCTAGTTATATTGTGATAACATTCCTGAGTCTAATTGCTACTGCCATGTGCAGCCCACTTCCTGGTTTACTGGATATGCTCCCATCCCCAAGTGTTTAAGGGTACACTAAGCCTATGTTCTGATATAGAAGTTGTTCACATTCTTATAAAAAAAAGCGGAAAAAAAGGGGGGAGCAGAGGGAAGCAGGGGAGTCCACTGGAATTCAAGAAAAAATGTTGAGGTGCCTCCAGAGCAATCTGGAAGAATGCTACCTAAGGCATATAATACAAAAACCAAGGAAAACAGAAAATAGGCTACAGACCTAAAAGGCTAACCTCAAAAATGTATTTATTCATAGAAAACATACAAAGTAAAACACATTGCATCGGGGACCTGGTGATCACTCCTAATCGTGAAAGCCCCCTCCCCTGGCATGGAGTAACTTCCCCACAATAGACACTCACTGATGGTACCAAAGATCTCCTCTGTGTGCACACAGCACCTGCACCTCCTCAATAGGGACCCAAATCCCCCATCCCCACCTCCCCACCACCACCACTGCCCCCAGAAACCCCCAACCACCCCTCAACAATCCCTCCAAACCCCCAACCAAAACAAAACCAAAAAAATACATTCTTTACATCTCTGCTGAGATATAGCCCACTCCTTTCTATATGAGTGTCTTATTTCTAGGGTCCAGTTTCTTGCATATGCTCCTTATGCACTTGAGGTAACTTGGCTTGAAAGTCCCCTACAACTGCCACCTGTTATAAACAAACTTTGGGATTTCATTAAGTGGTTCCATCTGCTGATTCAACATTCAGAAAGGCTGACAGGCGACCCATACCATTGTTCTATGAGTAACTTTAAAGCCCTAAACAATAGTCCAAGTTGCAGCTCTGTATGCAAAACCTAATGCAGGCACGGTATAAGCAGATACTGTATTTAAATTCTGTGAAAATACTGCAGTGAAATTTTAGGTAATGCAGGCATATATGCAGATACTGTATTTAAATTCTGTGAAAATTGCAGTGAAATTTTAGGTAATCACTTCACAAGTACAGAATGAGATCATCAGCTATTTCACAGAATTAGTACCTCTGCCGTTTAGCAGCCTAGCAAGGAAATGTATTTTGGAACTATCAAGTCTAAGATGTAATGTACCGAAGAAAATAGCGGAGTCATCAAACTCTGAAAACACTGTAAACTTTTATTTAGTCCATTAGCAGCAGATAAATAAAATATAAATTAATGTGTTATTTATATAAATATATAATAGTAAAACAATGATACAATGATAAATAATATAAATTAAGTTAGCTAGCATTGTTTAAATTAGTATTGACTGAAATAAACTCATCCTGTCTAACATCCTCTTCTCCTTCGTCTGCTTTCTCTTTTGCATTTTTGGGTGTTTGGTTCTTTTGCATGTTGAGATTCAAAAATGTCAAAAGTGCATCGGAAAATTCGTAACAGGTTTTTCATGGCTGATCGCTGGAATTTAATATCTGACACCTAGTAAAAGAACACATAATGGAAACTTAATAAAAAAATACGAGCATGCACTGTTTATGTGCTTGTATTGTGGTGTATCAAAGTATCTATTTACACATTGTATTGTGTTTAGTACTGTCCATCTATTCGGTGCAGGGGCGGACTGATAACTCATTGGGCCCCCGGGCAATAGGGGATCATGGGGCCCCTGGGCAATAGGGGATCATGGGGCCCCTGTGTCCTTGCTCAAACTCAAAAAAGCCTATGATAAAAGGTACCAGGGGCATCTCATGGGGCCCCCTACTGACCCCGGGCCCTCGGGCAGTGCCCGAGTTTCCAAATGGTCAGTCCGCCCCTGATTCGTGTGTATTACTATCCCCTTTCTACTTTCAAAATGATATAGGTATTGTTTATAGGAGTGCCTTCTGCAGCACATTTTCACGTTATTATGTGTGATACTCTCCATATTACTTTAATAACTAATAAAGAAAATGCACAAAAGCAGTCCAAGGTGTCACTGACATATTCACAAATGTTAACTGTATTTAGGCATGACTATGATGATTTATAAAGCAATACCATAATAAAAATGGCTGTTAATTAAAATTATGAAATGACTTTGAACTCTCTCTTATTGTTTCTTGCCTGAGTATAACAGAATAAATTATTAAATATTTTAAAGCGATCATAGAAATAAGTTAACTATAGCTATGTGTGGCAGATTTCAGCCTATGGGTCCCACTAGACACCTTTGGGAAACAGATTTTGGAGAAAATAATAATTAGATGTGTTAGACCATTTGAATTGGTTGCTATTATTTTCCTGTAAAATAAGCTAATGTCAGAAGTGGCTGCATGGCTGGCTATGCTTCTCCCCCCCCCTCCCTCCTTTCCCAGGACATAAATGTGCATGTTGTTGCACCAGTCTTTAAAAGTTGCAGCATTGATCTAACCCATCAATGGAGATATAAACACAATTGAATATATATAATATATATAGTTCCAAAAGGTAGCCACGGCATTCTATATTTGAGATAAATGCCCAGGTGCTCACCCACAAAGAAATCCATATAAATTCCAAACTAGTTTTAGAAGCACTCACGGGTCTTGCAGAGGAGAAAGATCAAAAACAGCAGTGTTGTTATTGCCAATGTTTCGATGAAGCTCGGTCCATCTTTCTCAAGATGGAGAAGGATGGACTGAACTTCAGCGAAACGTTGACAATAAAAACACTGCTGTTTTTGTTCTTCCTCCTCTGCAAGAACCGTGAGTGCCTTTAAACTAGTTTTGAATATATATATATATATATATATATATATATATATATATACACACACAGTATATATCCCTTTATACTCGCTACATTAAGACTAAGCATTTATTATTATACAGTATTTATATAGCGCCAACAGTTTGCTCAGTGCTTTACAATATAAGGGACACAGTACAATTACAATACAGTTCAGTACAGAAGTAATATGAGGGCCCTGCTCGTGGAGCTTACAATCTAAAGGAAGGGGGAGGTGATACAAAAGATGATAGCTGCGGGGAATGATCTGGTGGAGGTGATTCAAGTACAGTTCTTAGGCGGAGGTGGGGTAGGCTTCCCTGAATAAGTGAGTTTTCAAAGATCGCCTAAAGGCAGACAGGGTGGAGACTGACGAACATACTGTGGTAGGAAGTTCCAGAGGATGGGAGAGGCTCTGGAGAAGTCCTGGAGGCGAGCGTGGGAGGAGGTGATGAGGGAGCTAGAGAGGAAAATATCTTTGGAGGAGCGGAGTGGGCAATTTGGGTGGTATCTGTGGATCAGGGTGGTGATGTAGCTAGGGACAGTGTTGTGGGTGGCTTTGTAAGCTGTGGGTAGTATTTTGAATTTTATACATTGGGTTGGTGGAAGCCAGTGAAGGGATTGGCAGAGAGGGGCAGCAGTCACTGATCGGTTGGTAAGGTGTATGAGTCTAGCAGCAGCATTCATAATAGTCTGAAGGGGGGATAGCCTGTGTAACGGTAGACCAGTGAGGAGGAAGTTGCAGTAATCAAAGCAGGATAAAACCAAGGCATGGATAAGCTGTTTTGTGGTGTCATTGGTCAGAAAGGCATTTAGGTATGAATACATGCATCAGGGACAGATGGAAGATCCATCACCTTTCTAGTATTTCCCTATGCTAAAGAAATGTCAATCATGCCAAAAACATAGACTCCTGGTTCAGTTTTCTAAGTGTAGCATCAAACAACCCCCCCCCCCCCCCCCCTTCTTTGTATATTGCCATTATAACTTTGGGAATATCACCATCATGTGTTAGTGAACCTTATACATACAGTAAATTTTAATGGGGTGTCATACATTGCCAGGTATTCCTGACATATATATTCATATTTTAAACTGGCTGGAAAACACCATTATGTACTGTGAGCTTTACTGAAAGGACATGATAAATTTTGTTGGTATGTAACTCTCTGCAAAGCGGTTATATGCATGCACAGGATTTTAATAAAACATGTTTGATCTAATAAAAAATAGAACAATATGATCTTAGGGTCCCAGTACTAGCAAAGATACTCTTGTGATCCCAGAACAATGGCACATTAACATTTGGGGCTCCTTGTAAAAATGGCTGAGCCCCCTTGCTGAAGAGAATTATAAACAATACTGCATTGCTCCTGCAATCCATTGACCAACTAACAAATTAAATACTCTACAATGTGATTTGGGGATATGAACTCTTTTTATTACTATTTTTAATTCCAACAGGTCCCGTCAAGTCGATTTTGATATAACTGACCAAACTGAACTTATTTTATAATTAAGAAACATAATATTGCTTTTGACTTTGTTTCTTTTGATTCAAATATTCTAAAATAAAAAGCTGATCTGTAATCCCCTTGACCAAGGCGCGGTCTCCTGATGTGCGTTTCCATGCTCTTTGGTTTTATTATGAGTACTTTATAATCATACCTGCTTATCCTTAAGCTTCAACAGTAGTTTTCAGTTTCTGCTCAGTTGGCTTCAAGTAATCATCATTGGATTGAGTCAACATCAGTGACAAGTTAGTGATGCTGTCTTTCACTTCTGTAGCTTCAACAGAACTAAGCATCTTCAGATACATAGGAACAATCTGGCTAAGCAATAGTTTCTTTTCTCCTTCCTGTAAAGTTAAAGAGAATATTTTGTGAGATGCAATCTTAGAAAAAAAGTTGAAAAGTTTCCAGCTATATATAACACTTTTCCACAATTGTAACAATAATATTAATAAATGTACTTTGTGGACTTTATAAATAATTCTGATTTTGCCATAATTTTGCCATAGTTCATGCATGTTGAGATTGTTGCACAATACAGTTCCTATCTTACCCTGCAATACAATATTTTCTTTAGATATAACAGTATCTTTGTGGATGTTTCATATTTTGTGAATGTTTTGTGGATTTTTCATATATGTTTTAAAAACAAAAGTCTGGATCTATATTAACTACAGAACCAATAGGCTAGCTGCCATCTGTACACCTGTAACAATGATTATAAGTCATTCTATTTTGATGATATTAATTTCCAAATGCTTCTTTAAAATTACCATCCAGTATCCCCGGGTTTGTTTACAGCATGTCAGTTGAGCGTCTCTGATCTGCATAGATCAATACAGACTCAATGAAAGGGCATATAGAAAATAATTACACTGTAATGCAGAGAGCTGAAGTGGCATTTTCTGACTTTTCAATAACTTAAAAAAAAAGAAAAAAGTAAACAGCTTGATGCATTGTCCCAACATATTACCCCACTCCTCACCTCCTCTATACAATGCCAACGAGCCCGCGTGCGTTTTAGCTTGTAAACAAGCCCTTTGTAAATGGTGTTATGCACAGATAATCATTGCAAAAAATAGACATCTCATTACATGAAATTCACTTGGAATAATGACATATTCTGAAGGGGAAGGAATCACAACAGTGACTTTACTTCCAATACATTGGATAAAGGCTACATTGATACATATTTAGTATGACTCCTAATAGCCAGTGAATGGCAGCTTCCATTTAAGATCACAAAAAAGAAAGCTACAAAGTCTAAAAAGACTTGACTTGGTTGCCTTAAAAAAGATAAAGGAGTCAACTTACCATGTATTATTAATATTATTGAAACATTAATATCATGAATAACACAACATTCATCTTAGTATTGTGTTATTTAAGTAAAATATTTAAATGTCTCAGAGAACCATAATTTTTTTCCATTAGTATCTCAGTAGGTATTTACCTGGCTGTTATAAGAAATGTATTATTAAACTTATGTCAACATACCTCCTTAAAAGAATCCAGTACTTTTGCAAATATTTGATCTGTATCATCAGTATCACTTTTGTCTTTGGAATTCTGAAATTATAAAGAAGGCGTTGTCATTAAAAATAAAAATAAAAGCAAGTGATTCAAAGATTGATCAGCTTACAAGTTAGATTTTAGCTGCGAGGAGTCTGGTTGGTTAAGTTACCCTCTGGATTCTAATATCTTTTGGGAATTCAAATACTGAGATTTTCTGGCCACAGTTCCTAGCCCTCCACTGCCTACTTTTAGTTCACTTATCTTTACCACTTGTCTTTACTGTTCCTACTCCTTCTATTGCATTCTACATCTGTTTTAAAAAAAAAAAACTAAAAATTCAACAAGTGTTGCAGGTATGCAGGCATAACATATATGCAGACCCGGGAGCCACGAAAAGAGGTGTCACAAAATGTAAAAAACATTACATGGTCTCTACAGCTTCATTCCAGAACTGAACAAGAAGTTTTGGTGCATGGATCCTTTAATTTGTTTACTATTAATTAATTATTTAGCACAGATCATTATTATATAAGTGAAGTATTTCAGAAACCTGTTGGAGACAGTTTTCACTTGAACCAGCTATAGAATTATAAATATTATATTACATTTGTACCATTTGTCTATAACAGACTGAAGAAATGGTACACATTTAATAGTAAGGTGAGACAAGATAATTTACTTTGTGCCCTTTTTTTATTTTAATTTTCATTGATTCTCTAGGATCTGCCAAGAACAATGAACTTAGCGTCAGATAATCCTCACAATTAGAAGCTGCCGGTAGCAAGGCAGCATTGTATTAATTGCTTCACTTGCAATATTAAATACCTTGTGTTCAATAGTGTTATGAAATAGATATATGCTGTACAATAGTCACATACTGTATCTGACCTTATACTGCATACAAGGGTTTATACAGACTTAAGACTGCTTACAAATTTCACCTTAACCTGTCATATTGCAAAACTATCTTGCAACTATGTGCATGTCAAGACACTTTCATTTACAAAAACAGGTCATTTTCATTGTGATGGTAAAAAAGGCAACTGAGC